TTTGAGCAACAAACTTATTCTCAAACAATATGAAAGACTTTATTTATGAAAAATATTTCAATCCATCATCGTAATTTTTACGTTTAAAATAAATGATGACAAAAATCGGTTTTTAATACTACAGAACAAATTCAGTGATGCATTTCAAAAAATTTCTCAAAAACAAATAATAAAATGAAATAGTAAAGTAAAAACCACTTTCATTAGGAATTGTTAGGGAACATTAATTTTGTGTAGAATTCTATTTAATTTTTGCAAAAACAATGTTATGTTTGAAATTTTATAGAATACAAATACATCGTCCATATTTGAAATTTTTTTTTGTTTTTTGAAAAGTAAGATAGTTCTGTAGATTAAAATAGATATACAATTTATAGTGTACAAGTCTGTAAATAAATTTTTTACGAATAGAGTACAAGTCTCAACATACTAATTAAGATGTGATGTGTTGTGATAAAACTCATATCACCCATTCATTTTTTAGAAATATATCATCAAATCAATAATTAAATCTAAAAAATAAGCAGAAGGCTTGTTTTCTATTTTGTATTGTATATATATGTTTGAGACCCATGGCTGTTGCCTATACTTATGAAAGGACATAAAAGTCATTTGACTAGAGTATAAGTGTTTTTTTTTTTGCAATTTACTTTAATTATTGGTTTCTCAGATACTGTACAATGCAAGCCTTTTAATATGATCTGTACATTGCAATTCATCTGGCTCTATCTCACATCACATGTTACCTTTTTTAAAAATAAAAATTACAGTGCAAATTATTTTTTATTTTTTATTTTTTTTATAATATGCAATGTACTTTCACAAGTCATAGCTCTAAAATTAAGATTACAAATGATTCGAGTTGTTCATGTAATAAGAAATCTGGTTGAGAAAACATTATTTTCAAGTGCATTTATTAATTGAGTTGAACATCTTGTTAATTAGACTCAATTTTTTATTTTAAAAAAATGCACATTATTTGAGACTCAAAAATATGTTAATTAAAATTCATGAATACTTGAATAGTAGTTTATTAGTTTCATTAGGATTTGTAACTAAATTTTGTGGATTGTATTTGAGCATGAGATGGTATAAACAATCAAGCAGGTCAAATTCCAACTTGACTGACGGAAATTGTGTTGATTTTAAACACTTATTTTAGACTCAACTTAAGCTCGAGTTAACTCCGAATACTTGTTTAATTTCACACAAATAAAAAACAACATAGAAACTCAATCCGACTTAAATTGCAACCCTACTAACCTTGTGTTTGGAAATAAATTTAATTTTCAATAATTAGTCTTTTTTAACTTTTTTTTATTATTATTTTTTTTTGGATAATAAAACAAACACACACACACACTTTTTTGTTCACACCGGGGCTTGAACCCTTACTCCCTTCTTTGAAAGTAGGGAGGTTATATTATTGTGTCAAAGGCCCTTTTTCAAATATTAGGTATACATAATTGTGGTAGTAAATTGTCAATGAGTGTGAAAGTTACATAAAATCAGAAGGCATGCGAATAATGGTAGTGGACTAGTGGGAGTAAGTGAACATTTACATGTAATTGGGTAGACAAATGTTTTTAAAGCCCAGGTAAAATTCATGCCATCTAATTAGTTTTAACAATTGAAATAGTAAAGTGAAAAAAAATAATAACTTGTGTATGTAATGTATTTATTTTGAATAAAGCATATAAATAAAAAAAACAATTCACACCGTATTCATTATAAATATTTCTTTCATTGCTAGCTAGTGTGCCTAGCTTCTCCATGCCTGTCCCTTTCTTCATCCTTCTTTTAGAAATCAATCATTGTACGTGTAGGAATTTGATGCTACACAAATTTCGGATTGATTTAAATGCAGTGACGTGTTTATGGAACAATATAGTACATACATATATATATATATATACACATACATACATATTCAACCTGTCTCTCTCTCCTCTGTTATCTTACCTATCTTTGTACGTGTAGGAATTTGATGTTCACAAATTTGGGATTGATTTAAATGCAGTGACGTGTTTATGTAACAATATAGTACATACATATATACATACACATACATATTCAACCTGTCTCTCTCTTCTCTGTTATCTTACCTGTGCTTTTACTATACAGGACAGTGTGAAAAGACAACACAGACGGGGTAAATGTACAAAACACTGCAAAGAGAGACCAAATAAAACAATAAAGAGATTCGTGCCCATGAAATCACCACAACTTGAGGCAAAGACAAAAAAGGAGGAATATATATATATATATATATATATATACACACATATAATATATGATATACTCGTATATGAAATTGTATTTTTAAGAAATAAGTCAAATAAAGCATACAATTAAAAATGCAAATAGCTACTTAACTTTCCAAAGACACTTGAATGAGAAAACAGCACGGTACATGAGGAGGCTATAAATTAACAACATGTGAGAACAACATTACACTTTTCAGCTTGTATTGTATTTTTCTCAACCTTCACTTGTCTCTCTCTCCTCTATTATCTTACCGGTCCTTCCTTGGCTAGCTTGCGAAGAGCTCTCATTTACAGTCTCTTCTTGCCCTTATCTCTCCTCCTCCTCTCTGTAAGGCTACAGAAAAGAGCTCTCATTCTCAGTCTATCTCTTCCAGTCGATCTCTCCTTCTCTTCTAAAAATGGTAATATCTTCCTATTTCTGTTTTATTTATTTAATTAAGAAAACAGTTCAATATCTCATTGGGTTTGGAATGGTGAGATACTTAACAACATATAACATTATGTTTGCAGTTCAAATTACAGTACACATACATGCATACATATATATATATATGCACGCACAAGACAAGTATCATTCTTTCTAATTCATTTTTTTTTTTTCTTTTTTTGCTCTTTTCTTCTTCTAATTTCATTGATTCCCTCAAAAGATTTTGCATTCCTCCTCTTTGAACAAAACCTTATTTTTTATTTATTTATTTTTCCAGAAGATTAAACCTATTTTTTTCCCTTCAAAGTTCCCCCCCACTCCCCTCCTTTTCCTCTTTTACTTATTCTTCTTGCACTCATGTATGACGAGCAGAGCAGGACTTTTTTTTTCTTTTTTCTTTTTTTTTATGTTCTTGTTTAAATTTATTACAACAAATTTATGAACTTAATATCCCTATTAATTTTATATTTCTAAATTTTTTTTAATGCACTGTTTTACAAAAAGATAAATAAAAAATGATCTTGATTACACCATATATATTGCTGCATTGTTATATTTATTTATTTATTGCATGTTATATATATTGTTGTATTGTTACTGTCGTCATTTCTTTTAAATGTTATTTGTTGTAAAATTGAATTTATTGTTTTTATTTTTCACAAAAGGACGGTGGTGATGGTAGTTTGACAGTGTGGCGGAGGAATTTACAGAACTTAAACGGATATCAAAATGCCACAACTCGGATGTGGAATATTTCACCCGATCAGACACCTCCTGAAATGGATCAGGATGTATCTATTATTCCATATACAGATGGATCTAAAGGAATCTATGTATTTAACATCCTAAGAACATGTTATCATCCCAACATCGTAAGAGCTACGATTTTGAATGCAGCTCCCAACAATTCAATCCAAGTCATATTCGACAGCAAACAATAACCCTTGGATTTTTCATTCCTCATGCCTATATGGTGTCGTTAGGGGCACTGATGCTTTTATAAAAAATTTCAGGTAATGGTCTTGGTTTAAAACCTAATTTTAGAACATCATCAATTATATTCTCATTAATTTTTTTTTTTTTTTGGATGCAGAGGTATCATTGCTGGTTTAGATAAACTATTTTCCAACAATCTATGCCACAATAACCTTCTAAATGGGGTCATGGTATCCGAAACAGACGAGGCTAAACTTACATTCTTGAATCCATATAATGGTATTGTAATAGTACACTTGTATTTATTGAAATATGAGGTTGTATATTATTCGTTTTTTCAACTAATTAAACTAATTTTCTATTCAGACCATTTTCGATCAAGCAATGATGGGAGACCTTGGCGACTTCCGTACTCTGGTTTCTTGGGCATCCAACAACATTGATCCACAACACCAATTGGGAAAAAACAAGTCATGTTGTGTCAAGTTATTCCATGATTTGATGGCTTATCTTCCCGGTTGTCACACAATAGATGAACTGAGGTAAAACTCCAAACTTTATGCAAAATTTATGTACTTTTTTTATGTTTTATATTTTTACTAATTTTTATTTTATGTTTACAGAGAGCTTTGGACATTTATAAAAATCAATCCTCTTAAAGATGCGAGTATGTCAGAAAATTGGATGAGATCAAAAAGATTATTGCCACCCTTTGTTGATCTCATTAACCACCCCACTAACTCACAATCTGATATGGAATTATGGCATACAAGAGTAACGCCCGGTACCATCTTATATGATTTATTAACCGGATCGGCTGCAAGGCATAACAAGAATTCAAATATCCTGTGGTGTTATCTACACGGGCGGGAATTTTTGACTATCATAGATGCACCTATAAGCATTTTAAAGATACTGCAATTTGTGATGTCCTCCAAGTCGAGATGAACCTTTTCGACGTATTTCCGGATTAGGTGGGCTCATTGGAGCCTGGCAGCAACTCTCTAGTTTTTAGTTTCCTTGTCAAGCATTCTGTTTCCAATTTTTACTTTAATTGATAAAGTGCGGTGATAATATTAGTGATGGTTTTGTTTAGGACTCCGCACTCTCATTCACTTTTTGTAATTTTATTTATTGTGAATAAATAAACATAGATTATTTATGCAAACACATTGACATTTCAAATCTTTCAAAAGTAACCCAATGTGTTAGGAAACTGAGCTTTTGCCAAACACTTTGCAAGACATGAAATAAAACAGTGTTTGCAAATGACCCAATTACCACTCTACACCAACTTTACAAACTCATCCCATTTTCTAACAAAAATCATTTCATGAAAAAACCAATACCCACGTTGAAGCCAGAACAAGAATTCGTAAGCCATTCCAAAATACTATAATAAATAAGTTATATGCTATATAAACATCTTAACTTACCCAATAAAAGGTATTGTGGGTAAACCGGAAAATAAAACAGAATGTTTATAGCTATATAAAAATCTTACCCTAGACTAATTCATCCACACTTCCTAAAGTTTATACAAAATAACCCAAGGCAAAAAAAAAACATGGCTACAACATATAAGCAGAACATCTATTAAAATGTCCACCAACACTTTCTAAAGCTCCCCCTTGTTAAAACTATTTTCTTTCTTTCTTTGATGAAGATGACGTCATCTCGTGTCTCTAATAGGCACCAATTTAAGACAAATGAAGGTTTATCTACTCCGTCATCACCGATAATTCTTCCATCCCTGCAAAATGAACACTCATTAGCACCTACAGAAAAACTTAAACAACAAAAAGTTGCAAGAGATAACTGATTTTCTACATGAGCTCGAAAGACTAGTTTATATTCTCAATTCCCAGTCACTCATTAGGTTTCAGATTTTTTTTTCCCCTAATTGTTTAAAGCCTCCAAACCAGTTCCTATGACCCCAAAAGTTTAAAACCCATACGCCAGCTTTCCTAACTATACTCTTTCAACTGTTTTAATCCACATTCTGAAAGACAAATGATCCAACACATAGGTAAATATTCTTATATTTATTCACTATAAAATGCAATGATTTTCCACCACTTGTATTCATTCTTTAATCTATCCTGGCTTTTTCACAAAATATTTGTCAACAATAAGAGGCAAATTGCTCTCTCTGAATCCTCGATTATATTGACAGGAGATTATTGAAGAGAGGAGGTGAGACACTTAGGTACGCAATGCCCAATGCTGGAAACGAATGAGATGGGCGGTCTAGAAAGAATGGAGAGCTCATGAAATTGGGTGCAAATAAACTGAAGAGGGCATATATTGATGTCTTCTAGGGCTTGAATGGGTTTATGTTTAATTGGGGATGCCTGCTTAACCCATCACGGTGGGCAACCTGAACTTTACCTGGAAACCAAAAGATACGAAGAACTGAGTTACCACATCCAATCATAATGCAAATAGAACTGTAATCCACACTACTGGGTATGTACGCTTCGGTCAGGCAAGTCAGTGACAGACAAACTGTTGCTAGGTTTGTGAGAGGCGATGCTCGAGCAATGTGTCACAATGTCATATTCCCCCCAATCCTAGTGCAGTCAAGAGACAGAGATGAAACCTGCCGCTCAGAACTGTTGGGGTGGGACCAGCTTAACAAGCTCCTAACTCCAGCCAGCAAACCAAGATACACACAACTCCAGCTACTAATCCTAGTCCTAGACTGTCTCAATGACCGTGTCGTGTTCTGACAAGCACTGCACCTATTTTCAATGTCCCTTAGATCATTATTCATTTATTTTGCCAAGGCTGCAGGCCACCCTTATGGGGTGTCTCATGAGAGTGGTCTCCTTGTGGCACAATGTGAGCCCTATTGATTTGTGGCCTCAATAGGCTAGATGATTGTGTCCGGGATATTGTCTCTGGTGACTTTTTCGAATGGCTTTGAAGAATGAGTTTCTGGGGGTGGAATGGGTAATAATGTTGGTCCTGAATGAGATGAAGCAAGTGGAGGTCAAGTGCTCCATTGGTGGCGCTCAAGAGTGGCATGTAATCTGACAATGGGTGTGGGGAAGACCTTGATACAAATATTGGGAAGGATTTGTTATGACATAACCTTTTGGCTCACTGTAGGAAGCACGAAGTTTGATCCTTGAAGTACCACCCTTTCCTTCTTCAATTTTGTATCTAAAGTGGATTCATCGAATTCTATCCCTATCATCTTTTTTCTTTCTCAAATGTATCTCATCGACAATGAACCTCAATGGATTCTTGATTTATAGGGTAAAAAACGGATCACATTGTAGTTTACTTGAGTACGGTTTCTGCTCTTTCCATGGTCCTGTTCCAAACTCCTGGCAGGGACTGCTTCCTTGGCGCAACATGCAGCTGGAGATGCCGTATTTTTATGTACTTTTGAAGCCATTGCTGTGCGTATTGGGGTCATTCGGGTCGAACCTCTAGTCGCACCGTTTAGTCCAGACAGGTCAAGACCAACTTACGAGCTTGCAGGAGTAGCTATGCTCAAGCTCAAGAACTATCACTCCTCCCAGGCTGTGTTCAAGAACTATCACTCCTCCCAGGCTGTCTAGATACCATTACAGAGCGACCATTCTCACACGCGCACACCTCCCCATTGAGTCACGAAAATCCAATGGGGGTTTCTGAGCAGAGGAAGTGAGACACGTGAAATTGGAAATCTGATAGGTTAGATCAGATGAGAGTGAAGTGGTCTGAAAAGAGTTAAGAGCTTACAGAATAGTTTTTAAATTGGCTCAAAAACGTGCATTGATACCTAGATTATAACAGATTTAGGTTTAATTGGGGATGTCTACTAGACCCGTCACCGTGGGTAACCTGATTTTTCCAGAGGATTCATAGGCATGTGAAAGACACCTGGACAACGAGTCCAAAGCCAATCACAAACTAATTTGAACTACACCTACAATGCATGCATCACAAGGCCTGCAAGCTTGGGTCTGGCAAGTCAGCAACAGTCAATTCTTTCATCAGGTTCATGAGAGGCACTGCTCGTGCTGCAGGTCATAACTATGTCATCAGCTCTCTCCCATTTCCTAGTTTGGTCAAGATGAATCGCATGTCTAGGGCGTAATCAACTCTATGAGACCCTGTAATTCTTAATCACTGCTCTAAAACCTCCAGAATTCTTTGAGCTGTCCCTATAACAGTGTCATGGATCCGACAAGCTACAGATACACCTTTCCCTGGGCACTGTATCCCACACGGACAGGCTTTCAATGTTCGGGCATATATGAGGTGGTTCATACTCCATCATTACATGAATTTTCTGGCATGGGCTTCCTCTTCCTGAAGATGGAGACGGAGTCTGTATTCAACACTCGTTGTGGTCTTGGTGCCAACATAGACCGTTGGACAATGAGACAGGCACCAATTGCTTGAACGAGGTGGCAAGATTCATTTGTGGAAATTTCTACTGTCAATTGATTATTACCATGGACTGGTGGTCCTGTTGACAATATCACACATGGTCAAGATGAAATTTGATGGTCAAAATTAATGGACCATTAAACTCTTATTTGATTTATTTTCCACAGAACTAACAAGTTTTCTTAATTCCATTGCAACACAAAATCAAATAGAACGAGCTAGATTGCCCATGGAGACATAGACAATGATGCACAACCTATATTACATGTACTCAGTTACGTGTCTTGGGTGTACGTATGTGTCCAAGCCTCGGATATATCAATTCCCTACATTGAATGACAGAGGAACAATACTCAGTATTCAATTCATTTAAAAAAAAATTCTATTTTTTATAGAATAAAGTAATATTTTTATGTAATAACATACAACATAGGCATTTCGCACACTTCACCTTTACCCAAAAAAAACATTTCACACATTTTAAAGCAATAATCTAATACAATTTATCAATATGCTTTTGATGGTGCAAGTCCGACCAAATGTGTCAAATACATTACACCATGTCATGCAGCCTTATTCGAGTGTCGTGTGTCCTATACGGGTATTTTCAAGTACTTCTGAAGAGTCCACGTAATATAATGCATAACAATGAATTTGCCCATGGGCCTTTGTGTTGTTTATTGGTACTAGCATGATAACCATCATAAATAGGAAAAAGGGTCCATGTGAGGTCTTCTTTAATCGAGGGTGCTTAGTTGCACAAAGTGGCTACTATCAGGATCCTAACTCGCCCTAGATAGCCCAAGTCATTTTACCATTTCACCAAGCAATGGCCCCTACCTATATAATCAACATCGATAAACACAAAAAGCACAAATACACCTGATGGGACTCCCAGTTCCAAAAATAGTGGATCCATAATAAATCCTCCACCTAGATCAAGCAGTTCACCAACAACACCAGCCGGTATAACACAGAAGCAGTAGAGAACAAACTGGTGCACTAGGAAGTTAGTGCCTGCATCACCCTTGGATGCAATTGCTCTCTGTCCGTTGTACAAACTGATTGCCTCATACAAAGATACACCAACAGAAACAGGGATCTGCTAGGCATGAAAATGATATTTTCCAGACAAATGCTTGAAATCCCAGTCTACAAAGCCGGCAAAGCTCAATACTTATTAGAGCACTTCAGTATCAGGTCTCAAGCATGGGGTAAGAGCTAAATTTTACGTGCACACAATAAATCGGAAAGACATGCGTGAATATTTTTCTTTTAACATAATTGTAAAAGGTACCTGCAACAAGTTCACTACCCAGTATGTAGTCGAACTAGGAGCTGTATAATTCAGTTCCGAGCAAGAAAGTGTAAAAACAGTGACTCCACAAATTCAAAAAAGGAGAAATAAAAACAAAAGTTTCTCAAGAAAAATAATACATCATGATCAGGAATAGAATTGGAGAGAGAGAGAGAGAGAGAGGAAAACCTTGGTGATCTGCAGTACGAGCAAGGAATTCCAAACAAGAACAAGAAGCCCAAATTCCTTCCAGAAAACATTCTCAATTATAGTCACCTGTGATAGTTTCATGTATCAGACTTGCATGTATCAGACTTGAGCACTCTGGAAACTGAATAAGCTTGTCAGGGAAAGCTCACCTCTGGTTCTGCAGAATCTTTGGTCTCCACTTGAGTGACATTGCTCGGACAACCAGGAAGATGCTTGTATTCTGCTTCCTCTGCACCAGTACCTGACAGAAAAGGACACTTATATGTGTTATTCCAGAAAGAGAAACATCACGATTGAGGAGTCATTTATGATGTCAACATCGTAGATGAACAGGGGATAAACTCACCTGTTGCCTCCAAAAGCTTAGCAGCCTCCTGAAATTAAAAACAAGAAAAAGAAGAAGCTGCTATTAAGAATGGAAGAATTAATATTTGGTTGCACAATATATACATACAGGGAGCTCATGGACAAACATAAATGCAACCCCTTGTGTTTACATATCATTTGACGGGCAAATCCCATGTTATGCCAGTCATTTTAACAAATTCAAATGAACATACAAAACAACAAAAACAAATAATAAGTTATAAAATATCTTAGAGACCATAAGTTATCCTACACATACAACAAAGAGACTTATTAACCTACTATTAGAAACAAAATGGAATTATAATGAATGCTAAAAGACATAACAATTCAAAACATGGCATATATGGTTCAACAAAGACAGAACAATATCAGAATTCCTTCTATACCAGAAAACCACCCCCAAGGAAAAAATATAAAATAAAATAAAAATGGGACACTAAATTGATGTTCTCCTCACTCAAGCATGATCATTGTGCTCAAACTCTTAGGAAAATCACATATGACATCGGCAGGCTATATAGCTTAGAATATTAGTGTTTTCACTCTTTTGAGATGTAGACCACCACTAGAAGTGTAAAAAAAACCTGCCCAAAGAGTCATGATGAGAGATAGTGTCATTGTTAACGGTGATCAGAAGTTCCTCAGGTCTCACAACTAAGAATTGAAATTTTCCATAATACAATTCCTAGGGGTTATCCATAAGGTGAAAAATATATAAATGTCCCTGGTGATTTTCTTTCTTTTTTCCCTTCTTCTTTTTTCTTTTTTTGGTTTTGTTTTGTTTTTATTTTGATTAGGACATTTTTCTCTCTTTGGCACAAATATGGGTTAAAAGGCTTGTAGATAAATTTTTGGCTATCCGGAGCTCAGCCCTATGTCCAGTATTTAATAAGGCAGAGCTTGAGCAGAAAAATTAGAGATTAAATTAGCTCGAGTGAAGCTTAGGTAGGGAAGTTTTTGTGGCCAATTAATGAAACTTGGCATCCCCAGTTTGAAACATAAGCTAGGTGGGGCAAAAAACTGAAAACATCATGATAATTGAGATTAAATAATTTCACATTTTGCAATACTTCATCTGACAAACACGTTAGAGGTCCATTTTTTCCCAGGTGTTCTATATATTTTGCCAATCCCATTGCTACAGCCTTTTATTTGTTATTCATGGTATCCCAAATATGGAGCATTATTTTGGTAATGGCCTTTATTCGTGATATCCCAAATATAGATTATTTATAGATTTTAGGAAATAATTTCTCTGTCTTATAGCTTATTAACTATTATCCGATTGGCATACCAAGATAAACCAATACTATGACTAGAATATTATTAAAACCCTAAGTTACTCGTGAACCAATTCATTAATTGTTTAATTTATAGAGTATAGACTAATAAATAATAGTTTCCATTACACAAATATAAAAACTAATTTTAGACTACTTTATCCAATTTTGAAAGTTCATGTATAAAGAGAAATGAATTTTAATCTATCTTCCGTTTTCTTGCTGTTGGTTTTGTTTCTTTAGTCATGCATATTTATGATGCTCTCTGCAGTTGGAATCTTTCAAATCACCCTCTACATAGAACATTATTAATTTAGGTTATGTATGAAACTGAATCTCGTTTACTATAATTTCAACAGCATTAGTCATGCAAACATATTATGACAACGATTTGACGAAATTTGTTTAAACAGTTAAGCAGCTTGTTATAATTTCATCCACATTTCTAATGTTCTTTTTTGTTGTCTCAACCGACACATGGAAATTCTGAAGAGTTACAACTTAATAATTTTGAACGATGGTTTTAAGATTCCAAAATCTTACTTTCTTTTTCCACTGTATTCTTGAACATAATTTAACTCTCTACATAATTCTTCAAAAGAAATTCATACATGGTAGTAAATAGATTACGTCTCATCATAGATAAAATCAATTTGCTTAACCCCAAGGGGTTGGCCTAGTTGGAAAAGATTTGGGCCCTGGTGCCTCATAAAGTCTCAGGTTTCAAGATCGATTCCTGCTAGGTGCAACAATTTCTTGGAGGGGGGGTGTGTGAGTACCAACTAGGAAAAAAAAATCGATTTGCTTAAGTGCATCTTCTACATTAATCCTATCACGATATTATCTTAAAATATATAGTTTCTGCATGGAACAACCTTTTACTCACCAAATACCACAGACACACCATGCATTACATGGTATTACTCAATCTGTTTGGCATACTCAAGGATTTTTACTTTTAGTCTGTTGTCATCTGTAGACAATAATTCATTCTTTCTTATTCTGCTGTATCTTACAGGATTCTTGCTAGTTTATCCTCTCCAACAATTTGTTTTCTTAATTTAGATTGGCATTGGGATCCAAGTAATTCACATTTCTCATTTTTTGAAGTGAGTTGATAGGTTAAAAGGAAAGAATGCCCAGATACAACTAACTCTTACAGGGAAAACTTGTCACTGTAACCTATTAAGTGGTGATCCTAATCCATGTTCACATGCATAACTGGTTCGATGTCAAAAACTGGAGGCATAGTAAATTATTGATGCTAGCAAATAAAAAGAGGATAGAACAAATAAGAGTTACTTACAGTTAGGACTTCCCACTTCTCTTTGAACTCCTCGTAAGCAGTTTGGACATCTAGCAAGAACTCAAATATCCAGAGTTCAGCCAATTCTCAACTCATAATGTAGAATGGTGATTGTAAACCCATGTCAATCTTTGAAGGGAGAGCCATTATCAATCATCCATGTCTTTAGATGGAAAAGGAACTCATCCACTGGTAGCTCAACAGGAGTGTATTTCTGCTGTCTTTTGATGGAGAGAAACTGGTATTTGTTGCGACTTGTGAGTACTGAACAGCCCAACAAAGCTTATCTGGACAACTTAAGGAATGATACCTATTTACATTATAATATTATATCATGCCTAGAAATGCAAGTTTAAATTCCTTCAAAACATTCTATTCGTAATATCTGACTCCTTGATAGTCAATTCCATTGGAACTCAGTGAAATCTCAAAATGCATCACTTTAGCAATTTGCCATGAATTTCACGCATCAACAAGTCAGAGTTATCAACAAGACGTTTGCTCTCGTAAACAATATAACTACATAACTCGTGCCTGGGCTCTGGCCTGAGTGATTTTAATTGAGTAAGGGGATTCGTAATAGCAGATTTATCGTACAATTCTTTTGCAGGTTGGACATGATTCCACCAGAAGTCAGATAGTGCTATCTTCAGAACATCCCAATATTCAAAATCGCGGTGTAACCTAAACAAACTGCTCCCCTTAGGAGTCCAGACATAAAAATCCATCCAATCCCTGTCCAATATTTCCATCAAGCCTTGAGCTTGTGGGACACAATAAAGAGGGATCCGCGACCACGGGAAAGCCTGGCTCATATCACCATTGAAAAATGGGCACTTGATCTCCAGGACTCCTCTGGAAGGCAAACCATAAACAAGCTCGTTAATTACACCATCTGGTGAAGCTGCAAGCCAATCATCATCTGGATTATTCTCCCCATAAACCTGAAACTCTGGAAACAAAACAGCATTTCCCGTTATCAGCTTGTATCTTTCAAGAGCTTCCTCTTCCTTGATATTGTTCCAACAGGTAGCCAAGTTTCCGGTAAACGGCTCAATTGCCCCAAGCTTCTCCAACCAGAGCTGCACTCTTCGGCGAGGCCAAAACCCAACAGCCCCACCAAAAGTGCTTGCTGTCAATTTATTTTTTCTAAGTTCTTGCCAGTTTTTGAACCAATGTTGAAGCCCACTTGATTGGAGGATAGGATGACTTTCACCCGATGAGAATTTGGAATAAGAATTAGTGTGAAGATTGCAAACAATCTGATTATGGGGGGTCAAAATTTTAGTTTTTGGTTCTGTAGAACAATTTAAGTAGCGACTATACTTCCTACTTGTATTAGGAGCAAGAACACACATACACATTTGAAGACTGCTCTTTCCCTTTAGAGGTGACAAACGGTCGAACATGGAGAGCGCAAAATCCAAGTTCTTCCGTCTCTGACCAACCAAAATGATTATTAAATCTCTAATCATACATATATAGTGTAATATAGCTCACAGAAGAAAGTAAAATCCAACCAATTTTTTCGAAATGGAATCTCTACCCATATACATATAAAACAAGAATTACAGAAAAAAAAATTAAAACAAAACCCATACATACAAGTTAGCAGTTGCAGAGAGAGAGGAGTGCAAGCTTGAGAGTTGAGAGACAGCAAACGGCGAACCCGAACTGGAACAGTGGGCGATGGAAACTGAAAGATATGGGTTTTGATTTTTTGAACAATCTGAGATGATATACCGATATGGGTTTTGATATAGGTAATAGGTTTTGAACTTTTGATTCTTGCAGACAGATATATAAACTCAAATATATGGGTTTTGAACTTCTGATTCTTGTAATTTGCAGTTGCAGAGAGAGAGGGGGCAAGTTCAGAGTTGAGAACGAGAATAGAGATGGAGGCGATTGGGGAGGCTGAAATGATTTGCCTAGGATTTAGTTTGCAAAACAAGAATTACAAGCTTGATTAGTTGATTTAGAAAAAAAAAAAATTTAAAACAAAACCCATACATACAAGTTAGCAGTTGCAGAGAGAGAGAGGGGGGGGGGGGGGGGGGGGAAGCTTGAGAGTTGAGAGAGGCTGAAGCTTGCGAAATGCGAACCCGAACTGGAACTGCGGTTAAAAATAAAAAATAAAAAAAAATTCTGGTGGCCCATCATCATGGGCCTATAAATTTTGAGGCCCATAAATAATTGTTTCTGCATTCTGTTTGTGAGAAGTTTCTCTAGTCCATCTTTTTTTGTTCATGTTTTATTGATAATTTTTAATTTAACTCATTTGTATTATAATAATAATATTTATTTTTGGCCTATTTAGCGTACATTTATTTTGCCTATCTAACATATAAGTTAAAAGTATAACATGAATTCAAAAGAACAATACTATTTTTATCAAATTATTATTTATTTTTGTATTACATAGTTAAATCTATATATTTATCTTTTAAAAATAAAAAGGTATAATAGTAAATTTATTAAAATAGTTTCCTTTTCTTTCTTTTCTCAAACATGATTATTATCATTTCCTTTCTTTTATTTTATTAATCAACCAAATACAATAGGGAATTAAAATTATCATTTCCTTCCCTCATAACTAATGTTATTCTTTCTTTTCTTTTCTACCGTAACAAAAATAGCCTTAGAGAGAGAGATTCCTATTTTCAGATTTAAAAAATGAGTTAAAATCATAAAACTCTTACTATTTTCAAATTTTGATCATAAAATTTCAACATGTTTTTAAAAAATTCTTATACTTTTAAAAAGTTATCACATTGCCCCAATATTTGTATAATCGGGTTATTAAATGACAAATTTAACATTACTACTTAATAGTATTAAATTAAAAAATAAAAATTATTTTTTTAAGTTATAAAAATACCCTTTAAAATTACAAAATTTATGTTTGAGAAAGAGAGAGGATAAAAAAGAAGATTAAAGAGTATTTTTATAATTTTACAAAAATTATTTTTAATTTTTAATGTAACATTAAATAGTAAGATTAAATTTGTCATTTTATAACCCCATTAACAAATCGAATACGAATATCAGGGCAACATCATATTTTTTAAAATCATGGTATATATGAATTGAAACCGACTCCAAATAAATATCATATATCTCTCATCTTTGTATTGCTTTAAATATGTCAGGCCCACTTGCTAGGTCTAATTTTAAAGTAAAATAATTAAGGTTGGCCTAAAATGGGACCCATTTTAGGTTATTCTCTAAGACATCAATGGCATTAATTATTTTACTTTGAGAAGGATACTTAATAATTAACTCTGAATATCATCTTTCTTAAGATATATATATACGGACACCTACATGACGTTCCCAAGAGAGAGGAAGAAAAAATATATATATATATATTATAGATGGTTTGCAAACTTCATATATACACAATCACCAGCAAAACAGAAATATTATTTAAATTAAGGTGTTTTTGCACTTCTTAACCCCAGAATGTCCGAAACCATGGCACGCCTCAAAAGACACTTTATTGCCACCGGTTAACCCTAATTTCTTCCCTCTTTTTTAACAATCATCTCATATATCTTTTTAGATAAAAATGTATTTAGGTTTAGGTGAATTAGCGGTCAGGTTGCTTTCCATTATCCTTGGAGCCTAACTTCGCACCTCTAACTTTTTAATCTAACATATTTGCCTTGAAAAAAAAAATAAATAAATAGGAAAGGTAAAAAAGAAAAAAAAAAGGTATTTAGGTTTAGGTTTAGTTTTAGGATTTTCTTGTAACTCTTTTTCTTCACTTGACTTTGTAGTTCTGATAATGATACATACAACATTAATGTTGGTTGAATAACTTTATATAAATATATATATAAAAAAAAAAAAAAAAACAATTTCAATTTCAATTTCAAGAGTCATTCCTTGCTACTAAATATAACTTAATTGAAATCTGATTTTACTTAATTTTAACTAAAGCTCCCCTTAGTAAAAAGAAGAGGTGCCAAATTACGGTTGGGTTATATTTTATTTTTGATATTAACAACAAAATGTCTATAAATTCCACTACAATCCGTGTTTTTTCAATTTTTTTTTTTTTTCTTAAAATCTTTGGTCGGTATAGCCCCATTAATACTAAGAAATCCTTTAATATACCAATGACACGCACACACCCCATCCATATGGACACTTGATTGCTAATGACATTATTTCTCTATCATAGTAGCCTTTTCTGTTCCTAGTAACCCCCCATTTAGGAATGAAAACTAATCCCACAATAAGAAAAATTTTTTAAAAAAAAAAAAAAAACACACACACACACACACAGACCATATATGATTATTCATGATTTAAAAAACTGCACATATCTCAGATGCTAGATAGAAAGTGATAAAACATGAGTTACATGACAGAAAGATCAAAAACCTCTGCTACTTGGGGCACCCTGTCTCCATACCATGCCGGATTGCCCGGCTTGAAGCACAGGCACCCCATAATACTGCCCTAAACTAGGTCTACTTCCTAAACTACCACGCTGCAAGCCATGGGGGGCTGGTGGCCGCGCCAACCACGCGCCCTGCAGCTGCATTGCACTAACTGAAGGTTGCAGAGGCCGCCGATGAATGGCTGTCGGTGCTGGTACTTGCACCCGCGGCTGCTGTGGCATTGTTGGTCCTAATTGTTGATTCACCACACTAGCCAACATAGGCTGCTGCCCAAAGCCATGCCTGGGTGGTTGGGGCGGAGGCTGCTGTTCGGGAGCTTCTGGCCTCCACTCCGGGATGTCATCATCATCGCCATCGTCATTCCATTGAATTCCTCCAACCCCAGTACCTCCTTTGTTTTGAGTTATGCTTCCAGGTTGTCCGTATTTGTGTATAAGCTCTCTCACATGATCCACCGGATGAGATGGGGCTTGTGAGGTCATTCCTGACACCTGCAAAGGGTTTTGGATGGGAAGTTTTGGCACAGATGGGGTTAATCTGCCGGAGAAGTTAAACTCCGGCAAGTCATCCTCATCCCTGGAAGCTGCTGCCAGGCCAAACCCGGGAGGGATATCGTCGTCCTCATCAGGTGGAGGCTGAGGCTGAGGCTGAGGCTGAGGCCGGGCAGGTTTGGATGCAAAATTAAAATTTGTATCGCCACCGGGATGTGTCCTAGATCTGGAGTGGGGATTTTTGGTGGTATGCTTGTGGCGTGAAGATGAGTTGGGTGGTGATATCGTAGAAGTTGGATGAGCTCTTCTCCATACAACAACACCAATTAAGCCGCCATTATCAGTAGATTTAAGAGGTTGAGTATGATCTTCCTCGTGCAGGTGGCTGCTGAGAATTTCAAGTATTTTGGTGTGGGGTGGACAGATATAGATTTCAACTCCTGGAGCTGCTTCAGCAAAACCCAACCTCTCCTCCAAAATGTAAGAATCCACCACCTGCAGTGGGACAATTTTGTTAAGAAAATGGTGGCGGACAGTCTCTTATTTTTGAGTTGAAAAAAATAAACAAATTCTTTTGTTTTTGTGTGCGCACGTGTGTGTGTGTGTGTGTATATATATATATATATTGACATCTATAAGATAGATGGCAGTCACCTCGGAAAGGCTTGCACGCTCATTCTCGGATGATCTCTCCTTCAGAACAAACTGAACAACCTGAAGAAAAAGAGAATTTATCAAGTTACTATTGCAAAATGAAACTATACTAACTTACCCACAAATAAATATAAATGAAACTTTACTTTAGATACATGGAATATCAATAAATAAATATAAATGAAACTTTACTTTAGATACATGGAATATCAATAAATAAATATAAATGAAACTTTACTTTAAATACATGGAATATCAGTTAGGTTTGGATGTTGTTTAATAAGGGAACTTAAATTCCTAAATAACTTTTAACCATTACTGGATTTTTCTGGCCTTTGGCGAGACCCATTTGTTGATTTTAATGCCATCTATTTTTCTTCTGGTACCCTCCTTCTTTCTACCTTTTTCTTTCTTTTTCCTTTTCTCTTTTTATTTTTTATTTTTCAATATGAAAAGAGAGGAGAGAATAAAAAAGTGCTCTTTCAATATTGACCAGAAATAAGTTAAAGAAATTGGATAATTGATAATCTAGCTGATTCGAAGTAACGTTTGAACTGCATGTATTTGTTCCGAGAGAGGTGTGTTTTTCTCTGCAACAATTTATCTTCGGCTCGCCCATCAAATCTTATCATTTTTAAAGATTTTATTTGCCATTCCATAATATTAACCCATTTTTTGTTACTGAGCATTTTTTCAGCATTGAATATTGAAACAACACAAAGCAATCAAATAAAGTTGAGGAGTTTGCATCCAATTGTCTCGTCTGCCATGAACATGTATTCGAATTATATGTACTAAATTTGCTTTCTTCTCTATGCCAGAAATAACATTCACTCAAATGTTTACCCAAAGAACCTGATTTCTAAAGCCACTATGGGATCATTGGTTTACTGTAAAAGCTTTCGTTGCGAGGGAGTGAGAACGCAATTTCGAGTTTGAGGACAGCCACTTCGTGCAAATAATGTCCATAACCAATCCATCTTATCCTCCTCCCATCACTCAAAACCACAAAAGGGTAGGGGGGCTTGGGGTGAAATTTATTATTTTTTTTTTTTCGAAATAATTTTTGAGCAACTTCTTAAAACACAAATCATCCATCCCACATACATTCTCATCAGTCTAAGAAAAATGATATTTGCCGCAGAAAAAAAAGTACTACACTGCATTAATAATGGAGTACCAGTGGAACAATAAAACAGTAGATAAAAAATAATTACAACGAGAAAGAGGGGGGCTTGAGATACCATGACTGCACGGCTTCGAGACATAGGAAGCTCTTGAAGGAATTTTTTGAACGCATCAAGTCTCACTCTACCCTTGATCTCAAGAGTGTTAGGCCAGTCTTTTGTTGATGTTTTTTCACCGCTGTAAGACAAGCATATTAGCAAAAAGCAACCAGCACTGGGGAACAGTGTAAAGATTTCCACGTATTCCTTTTCTTTCAAATAACTTCATAACACAATGAAAACCATGTTAAACTGTATCTTGTTTGCAGACAAATCATTGCAACTATGCCAGCTAATATTTGGGATAACTTCACCACTAACCGGGCTACCGGGAATCACTACCATATTTGAGTGTAATTTCATAACTTTAAGAAGAAATATCATGTGTCAAGTGATCTAGAAAAAGGTTAAGAGGTCGAACATATATGACTTCAAAGTGTGAATTTAGAGCGGTAAACTAAAAGGTAAACATCGTAATATATACCCATTCAACTAAAGAATGGTTCTCCAAAATGATAAATCTTCACGCTATGAAAAAAAGGAGGGGAATGTCGTGCTTTCACAGTGATCAATGTTATACATATTGGTTTAAAGTGATATTTCAATTTCAAGCTTTTGCAATTTCGTTCAGCACAAAAAAGCAATGAAGTTTTAATGATTGTTTTATAATCAGAACAAAAAACTAATAAAGTCCACATCATTATACATAATGTATATAGCCGTGTAGGCTGAAAAGTGTGTGCGAGCTATCTACAATAGAATTCAGCAGGGTTCGGAGAACCAACAAACAAAGAAACAAAAGAATAGTATGCAATTATAGATATAAGGTTCCTTAATTCAAATTCACCGGCAGACAAACAAACAATGGCTACATCAGGAATGGAATGAATCAATTACTAATAAGACGATAATTTCAAGAACTGACTGAATATGCAAAGATCTCTATGAATAAATTAAGATATAGCAACTGGGATTGGGCCTTTCCAAAATTTCAAGCCCAGAGACATTCATATATGAACTGAAAGACTAGTTGTTATAAATCAAGACTTCCTTGCAACCAAAAAGCAAACTGAAGATTTGTAAGATGTAACAGCAGACAGAAGATAAAATAGATCGTGTGATTAATAACAAACTGCATCAGAGAAAAACAAGCAATGATGATAACAAATATGCTGATAAGAGACAAACCTTTTAAAGCAGCCAAAGACAGTGACCATAGCAGAGATATTCAGCTTGAGTACACCTTCCCATATATGTTCAACTTTAGATTCACCACCAGGAGGATGGGTTTTTGGTTCTATAGGACTCTCACTGGAATTCAATCTCATATCCAATTCTGTATACTTCCCGTCCATTTTATCAGTTTCAGCTTTTTCATCAGTCTTATCAGGGGTACTATTGACAGGATCTTTGGAAGCAGCTACTAGTTTATAGTCAGCATCCATGCTTTCCATGTTTGACTCAGGTTTCTTTCCACCACCCGCTGGTAAATTCTCAAATGGAGGTTCTGAATCAAGTGATTCCATAAATTCATCTAGGGAGACAATAGGAGGAAGAGATTCTGCATCCTTCAATTCATCCATCAAATCGGTCCCATCACTTGGAATAGATAGACTACCTGAAAGATCCTGATTTTCTGAACTGCTCCTGTAACCTACAACATTCTCTGTGTCTTCAGTTCCGTCAGATTTTGAAGGGGTTTGGGCTTTGGTTTGCTTGTTTTTTGATCGGATGGGAGTAAGGGAACTTGTTCCAACAGAAACCTCTACAGAAACACCATCATCTTGTTCGATTTCTACTTGAAACTCACCCTTGTGTGTTTTCCTCACTAAACGTCTTATATCAACATCAGATTCAGGCAAGACTACCATTTGAGCAAGCTCTTCTGCTTTTGCCATTCGCCACTGAGAAAGCTCCTTAGAAGCAAGTTCCTCTGCTGTCATTGAACACAATTTTTCAGGAGAAATTTCACAAGACAAAACTCTTTCTCTCAGTTCTGGATTATTACGATCTTTTAAGTTGAACAACAGAGATCTACCCTTCTCTTTATACTTCTTATTCACACCTCCGAATAATTTGAAGAGTTCTGCTTCAACTAGCAAAGCCAATTTTTGAGGAGTTCGAATTGCTTGCTCTTCCCGATTTCCACCGCCATCCCCATGTATCAATTTAGGTTTTTTGGCAATATGAACTTCGTTTGTTTCTGCCACGTCCATATCAAGATCCACTACCCAAGAAAGCCCATTTCCCTGCAAAAACTCATCTTTGACAAAGAAATTGTTACTGAATGAAACATCTTTATCAGATAAGATATTATCACATTGGAGTTCTTGTCCATCACATTTCCAGGTATTTGCAGAATCACCCATGCTTTCCTTGGTTAGTGTCTCCTGAGATGTGCTTTGTTCATCATTGAATTTATCTGCAGAACAAGATTCTTTAAAAGAAAAAGTACAGGTGGGATTTGTAAATAAATGGTCGGCAACATCAGCAGAAGTGGAAGTGGATTCAGCGGGCTGTGAAACCTCCTGTGTCAGCTCTGGAGTAATTGCAACTTCACTCTTTTCCACATTTGGAGCTTTATCATGGGGCTCAGAAACCAAGGCCAATGCAGCCGCTATTGATTCCCTCATCTTGGACCTAACAGATTCAAATGACTCGGTCTGAACCTTGGGAGATGGTTCCATTTGCGCAGTTCGGTTTTTGGGAGTTTGTGATTGCTGAGACCCAGATTTACGGTGAAGGGACTCATTCCTTACCATTCTCTTATTTTGTGTAGTTGAATTTGGCATTCGTGGAGTTCTAGACATGGAATGCATCTGCACAGTTTTTTTATGTGGTGCAGATGATTGCTGAAACTCGGCTGCAGAGGAGAGAGGTTCCATTTGTGTCATTTGCTTGTTTGGTATTGATATCTGTTGGGACACAGAATTATTGGACATTGGATCCCTTCGCTTACTTGGTAATAATAACTTCTGTGGACCTAAAGTATTGGACATGGCTTCCATCCCTCCGACTTGTTGGTCTGGCATCAACAACTGCTGTGACACCAGATCCCTCCACCCAGGATCCATCTGCAGAATTTTCTTGTTTAATACTAGTAACCTCTGTGACCCAGGATCATTTGGCATTGGCACCATTTGCCCCATTTGATGGCCTGATGTTACAAGCTGCTGTGATGCAGCAAAACTGGACATGGGCCCAGTCATTCCCATTCGCGTCTCTGATATTGATGAGGCCGGATTGTTGGAAACAGGTTCCATCTGATCGATTTTGTTTGGTAACTGCTGCCACATTAGATTGTTGGACATGCTAGGATAGCATCATAAACAAATACAACCACAATTCATATCATTAACTATGGTTCAAGCCAGATATTTATCGCTACCTCAGGTTATCGTTGAGACAGGAACATAAAACTCTGCATTCAGAAAAGATAAAGCTCGTGTGAGAATCCTTTTATTCAAAATTTAAAAAAACTGACATGAAAGACTACGCAGGTTCAGCTGTGAAACTTCAACAAATTGAACAATTATACAACGAAGCACAGACTACATAGCTAGGGAAGCAAAATTTACAGTTTTAAATCAATATTTGTTTGTATCCTCAACTGAGACAAAACAGCATCTTTAAGTTGATGGCAATATCCAATACAGACATCCAAATCAGATATATCATTTATCAAATAAAAGCATCATTACATTGATGGCAACATCTAATACAAACATCATCTTAAAAACGAAGATGTGTATTAGCACGTAAACAAACTTTCCACCCTTTTATTGTAACCAAAAAAATAAAAAAGCTATTATAATTTGAACTTTGAAATTGTCAATAATCCTCAAATAAACCTGGTAATTAGCATTCATTCTAAACCCCAAAAAATTCAAACAATGGCAACATAAATTGATCTCAAGAGTTAACACCATTAGAACCAATCTTTTCATCACGACAAACACAAAATCAAAGCACATGGAACAATAACTCTTTAAGAACCAAAACAAAGGAAGGATTGCTAGTTTATCAAAATAAGGGGCACAATATATATATATATATATATATATCAAATAACTAATTTTAATACCACATGACTAGATTTGCAATTTTAATCCCCAAAATCGAATACCCAAAATTCCAAAGACATGCAATTTAGCTCGATACAAGCAGTAATAAATCGAATACCCAAAATTCTCACTCTTAAATCCTATATTGGATAAAACATTATTACCTAAAATACCAATTACCCCATGTCATAACAAAAGTATTAAAATAATATAATTTAACCGTATGATCCACAATTGAGGGAGGGAGGGAGGGGAGAGAATATCACAAGACAAAATATACAATCGAATAAACACAAACATGCGCCCATGAAAACCCTCAAATCAGATATATCATCTGTATATATTCAATATATCTATATATATATATATGTAAAACATGTATGATGATGATGGTTGTGGTGATGGTACAGACGGGGAATCGTTACCTGATTGGATGAGGAAAACCTGAAGAGAGATCCGAGTTGATGAGCTGAGAATCGCCTAGCTAAAGAGATTGCTAGGTCAAGTTTATCTCCCTACGAGATAAAAAAACAGTTTAAATCCCCCCTACGATGTAAACCCTAGCATATATCCATCCGAAACGGGGCTTCGCTTCACACGTGGGGTGTGGGGGCTTTGCTTCACACGTGGGGTGTGTGTGGGTGCCGCAAGTGGACCTTTCTTTTAAAGAGGATGGCTGACTGCAGACTATCCTTATACGATTGTAGATGTAAAATTAAGAGATAATATTATCCTTTTTATTTATTGACTATTATTAATTCGCTCTCCTCTTTGATCACGTGTATATATCTTTCTTTTCTTTTTCTTTTCTTTTTTTGCAATAATTTTTTTATTAATGATGGATTATGTATATATTAAATATTATCTATTTATACTTTAAATGTGGATTTTCATGACGGTAAATTTTAATTGAAGTAAATTATAAAATTAAATTTTCTAGAAGTGAATGGTTTAGTAAAGAGAGGGGGAGAAAAGTATAGTGGTGATGGATAATAATTACACTTATTGAATTTTAGTGAAAGTAAAATTGTATAATTGAGTTTTTGTTATTTGTAAATTATAGAAGTGAATGATTTAGTAGATAGAAAGAGAGAAGCATAGTGGTGATGGGATAATTACACTTTAGAGATAAGATGGTTTAATGAGTGATAGATAATTATAGATAATAAAAGTGGATAAATGATTGATTTTGATATATAAAAAAGGAAAAAAGTATAGAATAAACTCGAAAAAAAAAAGAGGAAAGAATGAATCCGTTTAAAAGACAATTCAAAGGAAAAAAAAAAAATTTATATATATATAATAATAGCTATTTACTGTTACATATATAGACATACAATGGAAAGATAAGAGAGAATAATACTCCATAAACAAAATAGAGTAATATTGTCTTATAAAATAATATTTTAATGCTCAATAAAAGTAGGAGAGTGTATTATATACATAGGTTACATATATAGACATACAATGAAAAGATAAGGGAGAATAATGGTCAATAAACAGAAGAGAATAATATTGTCTTATAAAATAAGATTTTAATGCTCCATAAAAGTAAGAGAGTGTATTATATATATATATATATAGACATATAAGAGATAATAATAGTCATTAAACAAAAGAGGGTAATATTGTCGTATGCCTATTTTTTCAATCAATCACATCTGTGACTGTCTAAGTACGGTCGTTACCGTCCCTGTAATTAGCAATCCTCTTATTTTAATTTTTTTTGTTTTTTTATCTTTTTCCCTTTTTTTCTTTTTTTCTTTTCAAAAATCCTAGCAAACACACCACTATTTGGTCACCTAATTAAAATTTTAATTTGCAACAAAATTTATCCCTTTTTTGTGGTGTATTTTTTTAGTTGTCAAGTCAAATTAATAAAATTAAAATGTAAAGAAATAAAAAATACGAACCCAACTTTACCCTTTCACACATGATTAGCTCAACACATAACTAAACTACATTCTTTATGATATTTTTTTTAGTTGGTACTCACACACACATATTTCATTGAGGGTCAAACTCATAATCTTTCTTTAAAAAGTAAGAGTGTGGTACCACTAGGCACTTCGTTCAAACACACAAACAAATCATTAGTTTCTGAACTTTGAACCCTAGTTTTTGTAAACGACAAGAGCAATTGTGCTATATCACATGCTATAAACTCAACAAAAATGCTAGAGTGGTTCAAACCAACCATATTTTTTCACAATTAGATTACTAAAGTGAAGAAGGTCAAATCCTTAACATTTCTTTGAAAAGTAGAGGTTTGGTACCATTAGGCATGTCATTCAAACACACAAACAAATCATTAGTTTCTGAACTTTAAACCCCAATTTTTGTAAATGACAAAAGCAATTGTGTTCTATCACATACCATAAGCTCAACAAAAATGCTAGATTGGTTCAAATCAACCATATTTTTTTTACAATTAGATCACTAAAGTGAAGAGTGAACCCCTAACATTCCTTTGAAAAGTAGAGGCCTAGTACCAATAGGCACTTCGTTCAAACACACAAACAAATCATTAGTTTATGAACTCTGAACCCTAGTTTTTGTAAACGACAAGAGCAATTGTGTTCTATCACACACCATAAGCTCAACAAAAATGCTAGAGTGGTTCAAGCCAACCATATTTTTTCCCAGTTAGATCACTAAAGTGAAAACTTAAAGGAATTTTAACATTGAAGCTCAAGGTAAGTGTGATTTATGTTTGGTTTCCTTTTATGTGTATTGATTTTGTACCAATATGTATTAGAATTTTTGTTATTCATGTTTAATGGTTTATGTAAGTTTTTTTTTTTTTTTTTTTTACATAATCGGAGTTTTTAGGGTTTTGTCCTTACTAGTCACCAAGACATCGTGTAAAACGTCCACTCCACATTGGTTAGGTAAAGTTCGTGGTTTCACCTGTGAGTGTGGCCCTAATAAATTGCTAGGTAAATTACACTTACATTCCCTGAGATTTGGGCAAATCTCACATGAGTAGAGCGTTTGAAGTTTATTACTCTGACCTTCCTTAAAACTATAAAAGGTTAATTATACCCTTATATGTAATATATTTTTATAATACAAAATATATTATAAAATCTTTAAAAAAAAATTAATTTTCTATCACATCTCTATTATTACTCTCTCTCTCCTCTTTACCACCGTTACCCCCTCCTAAAAAATATATTGTAAAAAAATAAAATAAAATAAGTGTAGGGGCAACTTGGTCATTTTATGAATTTTTTTTACAAGTTTTGATAGAGAGGGGGGGTTATTGAGTATACACCCAAACCATAAGGGAGGTTAAAGCAATAAATCTAAAACGTTCCACTTGTGTGAGATTTGCCCAAATTTCAGGGGAGGTCAGTGTAATTTACCCTACATTATTTGTACTTAAAGGAAGTTGAACCTTATACCTGACGTTTCATAAGGCACCAGGTCCAAATGACTTACCACTAGAGCCAACCCCTTGGTGTTATGGTTTATTTAAGTTCATGTGTGTTACTAACATATTTTTGGATTATTCATATTTTAAAAAAAAAAAATTTTAAATTTGGCGAGTGTGTTTTATACTCTGTATTAGGGTTTCTATTATGCATTTAATCTTTGTCACGATGAAAAAAATATTTTCAAAAGAATATAATCTTTAACGCTTTTAAAGTTTATTTTCATTTTGACTCGTCATACATTAACAAATACACATGGCTACATTGAAAGCCATTGGTGTCAATAGCTCCATTTAATTCTTAATTACATACTTTAGATGGCATTCCACACCAAAATTTGATACCCTATTAAATTTGTGCATTAGACGCGTTATCTACATAAAACATCCCATGTGAGGGTCGTCTTGTAGAAAAAATTAGGATGCCACGAAAACATGTCTGAATATTTTTTAATAATCAAGACATAATTACATAAACAAGTCGCAAAGAGTGAAGAATAGTTGGTCACTATGATTTGGTATAAACAAATTTATAACACAGATTCATAAACAAATGGAGGAATCAGAAGCAAGAGCTAACATAATATAAACGATTGAGGAATCGTGAGATACGATGTTCCCGTGCAAACAAATGCATAAACGAATATTTCCATTCACCAAACATGCATTACAAAATTATGAGATACAATACGTTTGTGCTAAAATTTTCCCATTCACCAACCAAACCCTAAACCAAAAGTGCATTGCAAAACCACGACAACATAATCCTTACCTCATTGTCGAGTTTTCGACGGTGGGAGATTAAATATGCAATTTTTGGTGGAGAGATGATCTAAAACGATGCAAGATTTCGGTGGAGATGGTCGAATATGTTAAACCGTGAGCCCTAAGGTTGAGATGAAACCATGAACCGATGTTGTATCAGTTCCATTACTCAAAGCAGTGTTTTGTATAATGACAATATATATCACCTTTTCAACGATTCTTTCTTTTAAAAAATGAAGGTCAAATACGTAATTTCACATTAACCCAACACCATGCCGTCTTGGGAAGGTTTGCCACTTTTTAATGGTTTCGAGAGTCCTAAGTTGCATAATTTACAATTGATGCATAGTTTAAGAGGTTTTTCTATAGATGCACATTTTGTGAGAAGTTACTTTATAGCAACAATAAATCTAAAAAGATAATTAATTTATTAAATCAAAAATAAAGAAAACGAATTATTGAATGAAATAAAATTATAGTATTTGGAAAGTAGATCAAGAAGCCAAAATGGCCAAACTTCCCATTCAATATCAGAGGCTATTCCGCTTATTTCATTACTACTTACAAACTATAACGAGTCTAGCAAAGTTCGCTGACTCCTTTCCCTTTTGATCCAATGGGGGACCGTTTGTTTAATTATAAAGTTTGTTGTTTTACGAAAAAAAAAATAATAATAATAAAATTTAATAAAAATAATTAATTCATCAATTTTTGTAAATTATTTTATATGTTCCATCCGATAGACTCGATTTCAACCTTAACCTCAACCTCAACCTCAACCTTAACCTCAGACACGAAAACATAAAAATAAAAAATATATATTCTACTTAAAAAGTATATTTTAAAAAAAAAAAAATTTTACGTCACCAAACCATATTGTTGTACTTGGCACTTGCTACTTCTTCAACAACTCCCCGTACCATAACATTCACGAGCTATTACTTCATCATAGGAGGACATGCCTTCAATGGTAGAGATTTTTTTTTTTTTTTTGGTTTTTAGAGTAAATAGAATTTTCAAAGATGGGCATTTGTGGAATAAATATTAATTGGGTACTTATTGACATTTAAATTTTTTATTTTGTAACTAATCATAATTTCTTTACTTTATGGTCACTTAAAGAGCGATTTTGTTTAGATCTTATAACTAGAATCTGATTTTTTTATTGTTTATTTTTGTGAGTAATAAGAGCAAAACAATAAAAGGAGTGCTAATTGCAGTCATGGGTTCTACAAATATTACTTTTTTTAGACAAAAATACCCTTTTAAGTTATGTAGCCTTTCTTCTTCTCTCCTCTTTTAATGTGCGCACGCTTGTGTGTATATATATAAAATAACTAAT